CATTCTAAATGATATTCGAGATGAAAAAGCGCGATGTGTCCTTTTCGAAATTAAGTAACGTGCTCGATAAATTTGCATTCAGAATCTGAGCACGATTTAAACGACCTTGAAATTCGAATGTTCATCAAGAAATGTAGAATTCGGGCGATTATAATTATTTATCAACATCAATGAAACGTTTTTCTTATTCCAATTTCTTTTTTTAATCAAAGTTCAACCATTTCGTGATTAATCTGATAATTGTTAATCAAACATTTTGAAGTTTTTTTAGCAATTATTTTCTTAGCATTGAGCGTATACTCTGGAACAATCATTATGCTGAATCATAATGGAATAGAAACTTGAAAACAATTGAAACTTTATTTCACATATTATTTTAAATAAGCTTAGAAATTGAATCACGTATATTGTTTATATATGATCAATTTTTTTTATATCAAATATTCGAGAAATATTCTATTTAAATTTACTGAATTTATAAATATTTTGAATTAAAATAATTTGAATAAGTATTTTAAAAAACGTGAACCTGTCCTTGACTATCAAATCACAAGTGACTAAAAGTTATAATTATATTTGCATCTTCTGGAAAATGTATGTTATCGCAATCGCAAAATGTTAGCATTACATAATCAACAAGAAAGAGTTAAATTACAATCGCATATATTAACTAATTGAAAATGTTGTCTTACAAGTTAGCGCATTTAGAAAGTTTTCTGTTTTATGTTTTATTTTATATCTTTGATTATACGATCAAGTTCATCGATAAAGATATCGATTGCCTATTTGTAAAAGTTATCTTGTTACAGTTCAACATAAACTTCCATTTGTAAAATTTGACTTTTATAAAATCATCTTTAATCCTATCTAATTTCGAATATAATAATATAATTCCCCAATTCTAAGGATTTAATCTGAAAATCTCAACTTTTAATCAGAGTCGTTCAGATAAAGTTGTTTAAGATGCTTAAGAAGAGATGCTTACCAGCCTTATTAACGTCCCAGATGACAACGATGGCACCGAGATTGGCCAGCCTAAGGGCGGTTAACCTTCCTAAACCACCACCACCTCCAGTCACTAGAGTGATTTCCCCGGCAATGCTCTTCATCTTATATTTCAACGGGATGAACAATTTAATGATATTTTCGATGCTAAAGATCACTGTCCAAAAAACGAAAAGTATCACAGCCTTGGCGGTTACAAAGAACGACATATTTGTTGCGTTTTTTCTTGATCAAATTTTTATATTTGTTCCAACTTGTTTGAACGTTTTATCGCGACTACACTGAGACTCTTCTGTGAAATTGAGGTCGATCAGGATGGCATAACTCGACCTGTGTATCAATTAAGACTTATGAACGATGAGGTTTGTCTGAAAAAACATAATTATGACCAGTGTGACTTTAAATGCGATCGTGCAAAAAGATATTAATTAATTTTTTTATGATTATATCTATTGTATTAATTTTGTATGTATCTATGTAATTATAATATTAATTAATTTAGAAATTAAAGATAAATTTAAAATTTATCAGCAATTTGTATATAACTAATTTAAATTTAATAGTAACCAGTATAAAACGATAACATCAGTATATATATATATATATATATATATAGAAACTATTATACACTTTCTCCAAAATTTCGTATTACTTTCCTCTTATTTTCTCAAGAAAGAGGATACGAGGACAATCACGCAAGAATTAAAAAATTTAACAAAAAGAATTCAAAGATATTCACTGTTTAAAATTTTGGAAATTGATAGGTTTTATCATTTTATTTATATAACAATTCTTATAGAGATAAAAATAATTTAATCTAAGATCATAAATTCAATATTTTTCGAAATATTTGTAATTGTAATTTTATTATTATTAATTATTATTATTAATTATTATTAATTAATTTGAAGAATTATTACAGAAAATGAAAAAATGAAATTTATCAATGTTCAAGATTTGAATGAAATCATTTGACTCGAAGGTTTTGTGCTTCCCTTGTAAAATGTTATCCGAATCTCGTTGCTCGTAAACGAAAATAAAAGTGCTTCACTCTTCGAATAACATTTCAGAATAAAAATTCTTCTTATATTCTTGTTATATTATATATTTTGTATCACGAAATATACGACAAGTAATTTACGTTAGGGCAAATATCCAATATCGATTCACTTTCTAATGAAACGCGAAATTCACTTTCGATTTTTATTCACATATATTCCAGTCACACGAAGCTCGTAATTTTTCGATTACTTAAACGATTGTGAATAAAACGATTTTTATGAATAGAATGGAAACGAAGATTGAATTATAATTATTGTTACTGAAGAAAGATCAGTTGATTTTTTTTTATTAAAAATAATAGTTTAACTCTACTTTATTTTAGATTTCGTTCGATGAATATTATTGAAATATACAGTGAAACGAACATATATATGTATATATATTTAATAATTTTTCTTATTAAAAAAAAACACGATGAAATGACAAAAAATAAATCATACATAATAAAAAAATAAAATTTTTTCCTCGTGTCTTGAAACAATAGATAAGACAATGTTTTATGAAAAAACAACTTCTTTTCATATTCATAATATTCTATTTTGTACAATTATTATTGTCAAACGAATGATTTCAATTAACGGTGAATTTCCGTGTCACGTTTCGTGTACCAAAGAATATAATCGAGCACCAACGAGCAACAGCCAGTTATATATAGCAATCATGGCAAAATGTCGCGTGACATAGCGCGAAGCTTTTCGTGTCAATTTAATTTACTTGATTCGTTCGATCCTAATATCGAAACTGAGCAATGTTTCCATAAATATATGGAGCAAAATTTATTTTTCTTCTTTTAATAATAATAATCAAAGAGAAATATTAAATTAGATCAGAGCTAGATAAACTTGATATCACATAATTAGATAAGATAGTTCTTATTGATCGAAATCGTATTAGCAAAAATTAATATTTCCTTAAAGAATTGATCGAAACTCGACTCGAGAAATCAGAAGACCACTTTCAAAACTGTTCGCTCGCGGCGAACTATTGAGCATCGTTACGAATTCAATTTGCGGTAGTTATAAGTCTTCCTCGTTGCTCTGCTTTTATATAGGCATCGCATTATAAAATCCTTCGATTCTTCAATGAAATAAAGATAGAAACGAAAAGATATAATTCTAGATTTGAATGAATATTTTCGTAAATATATCTTAAGAAATATATATATATATATTGTATATGATGAATTTAAATATAGGATAAAAAGGGATCTTACTACACAATGTAAATCTCTTATGTACGTTTTCGTTGCAAAGACACTTGCACTTTCCGGAAGAAGGCGGAACAGAAATAAAACGAAAGAGCGAACCAATGAGGTGCACGAAAATACCTATGCGAAACTTGTCTACGGAACGAAAGATACTCGTCTTACCGGCACTACGGTCGTTGGTGAACTGAATAAAACGGCGGCTCTGGTACGCCTTTACTCTCTCGACGATCTCCGGCAACAAACTATGCGCATCACATGAGATATACGAGCAACGAACATTAATATGAGCGTGATAATTGCACGTGTATCATCTATTTAATGCATATCATCTTTTTGATGATAGAAATTAAAACTGAAATCACAAAATAATAATGTAATATAAGAATATAGTGAAAATAGTTTTCTGAAAAGATTTCAATTAATTTTGATAGAATTGATGTGATTCAATATATAAATATTGAATAATTAATATAAAATTAAAAATAAAAAATATAAAGTTATCGTATATCGATATATGTATTATATAAATACTTGTGGTTTTATTTTAATATTTCCATCATGTAATTAATTCTTTCAAAGATTTTTTTTAAATCATTTTACTATTATGATGATAACCTGTACATCTTATAAAAAGAAATAAATATTTATAAATCACATAATATAATTTATAAAGATTTAAATATTAAATAAGAAATAAAGATATTAAATCCATATTAATATTTATTTATTGCGTTTTATTAATATCGTTCGTGCAATTTACAAACTGGAACACCGGCACATCTACACAAAACGCCTGTTGATCCATCGATGCATTTCCTTCGACTAGGGGCGTCGCAACGGCGAGAGTCGAACGAAGGAGAGAGTAGACCTCTCGAACGGAATATTGATGGGCAAATGAAATTTTCGTGAATTATTCTTGATTTTTTTGAACGATATTTGTTAATATATATATAATCTTGATTATAATTAAGTTGAGTTCAGAAATCGATAGATTTTTCAGTCAAATAGATGAAATCTAGAGAAATTAATTAAAAACAGATTAATGTGTGTTTTAAGATAATAATTTTTTAACGTTTAGTTTAAATTTAAGATATTGATAATAAATTAAATAAAATAAATTAATTTAATAATAATTTTTTCAAGGATTATATTTTGTTATTGTATATAAGTTGAATAATATTTACTTTATTCTTCATATCGATATTAATATCGTGTTAAATTTAGAACAAAATTTTAACTTCAAATCTCAAAGTTGATATGAAAACGAAAAAATTATAATTATAATTATAATTTGCAAATTAATTTGTAAAAAAAAAGAAATATAAAAAAAAAATTATACTTATTGAAAAAATGGATAAATTATAATAAATAATATGATATAATTTGTTTGATATAATTTGTTATTTTTGTATATTATAAAAATTATTCAAATATATTTTACTATGCAAACAAATTATTCTACTCTAGTAGTACTTTTTTTTTCTTTTCAATAAATTATTTTATCTGTTTATAATTTGCCACAATTTAAAAGAAATTGATCGTAAGATTAAAAATCTCAGATAAGTGATTATGAATAAATTATTATGAATTAAAATTTTGATGAAATGGAAAGTTTATATTCAATCATTTAACCGTTGAACTTGAAACACGAGAAATCTTTCTCTTGGTGGTTTAGCAAAACTATAGATTGTTTCACAAATTAACTTTTCAGAGCATTATGAGTGAAAGTGGCCGGTTTCAAATAATTCGGAAGATTTTAAAAACTGATTCGTATTACGTCCTAATCAATTATCAAAATAATGATAATAAATATTTTTATAATAAAGAAAACAGATATTAATAATCAATTTTTAATGTGATAATAATATTGATAATTATTATAATATGTATTTATCATAAACTTTTCCAATTAATAATTAATAGTCATATTATTTCCGTTTATATTATCAGACATTAATCAAATTTTTTATTTTTAATATTTATCATTTTGATTCAGATAAATTAGTTTCTTAACCTTTAAAATATGATTAATGAATGATTAATAATTATTATCATAATTAAGAAATGTTTATATATTGGACGTGCTATAATATGATTTAAGAAAATGAAAGATTGTAGAAAATAAAGAATGATAAGAAAACTCACCGTTAAGTCAATATTCTTACAAAAGATAGCTAAAAAAAATCTGTTCGAAGTTAATTCAAGTGAAACCGTCAGTCAGAATGTGAGGTGTCTAAAAGAATAAAAATTACGAAATTAATGTCAGTATGTACTTTCACTGAAATTCCCATTAAATAAACCTGAGCAGAATGGATCTTGATAATAATCGTTATTAAAGAGTTTTTTTTTTGCTCTACTAAGCGATTACTAAATTAAATGTAAATACGAAAATCTACAAATATTGACACTTCAGAACTTTTTGCTTTTGATATTACATATATATATCTATATTATACATATGTATACATATATTATTTATACATCGTCACACTATGGAATATATATTTATTGATTAACCTCACAAATTAACTATTCGTTTATTTTGCTTATTAAAATCTTTACATGAATTTTAAATAGGATTTTGATTGAAGAATCACAAAAATATATATATTATTTTTAAAAATAAGTTATTGTTAACAATTTATTTTTTATTCAGTACCTTTAATTTAACGAGATGAAGAACAAATCGATAATCGATCAAATTATCAAATCTCGAATAATCCTTTGTTTATCATTTGGAATCATTCCCAATGTTATCGACTCAGTATTGTACTTAGCTAGAACTGAAAATAAATGAAATAAAAAAAATGATATTATAATTATAAATAAATTATAAAATTCTATATTTACAGTTTATAATAATCTTTTCAGATTATATATAAAATTTTGAAAAATAAAAACTTTTAATAATTAATTTCGAATGACCATTAATATGCTATTAAATCATTGGTTGATTATAATATAATATAACACTGATTGATCTATAAATTTTAAAACAAAAAAAAATATTTTGATAAATTAAATCTTAATTTATTTCTTGAAGTATGTTTTGATTTGATAAAAAGTTAAAGAATTTAACGTAAATATTAACGAAATTTAAATCTTTAGATTGTTCTATCTACTGACTAGTTTTATTAATTTACTAGATAGAATTTACTAGATTCTATCAAATATATCTTGAAATATATTTTTTAAAAATTATTTAGAATTACAAAAATTATTAATCTAAAGTGAATATTTGAACAAAATTAAATTATTTTTTAAAAAAATATGTTTTGATTTATAATCATTTGAGAATTAAAAAAATTTAGTATCCCAAAAATTTTTAATTTTAAATTTTTGTTATTTGACAATTAGTTCTACCTATTTACCGCTAGATGGTGAAAATGTTTTGATCTCCGTTAATGTATGACTATAAATAACAGGTTAGTTTAATATAAAAATAAATACTAAATATAATCAAAAATACTTGAATAAGTAAATATAGTAATTTTTATTATTAATAAAATTAATATATTAATTTTATTAATAAAATTAATATAAAAATAAAAACTTATTCAGTATGAAGTCTCTAAAAAATAATGCCAAAGATATTACAATGGACGCAATTATAAAAAATTTGAAAAAAGAAAAACAAAAAAAAAAACAGTGAGAAAATAAAAAAATATTTTATAAAAAAAAATTTCAAAAAAAATGTTATTTTTTACTTCGTTTGTACTATTAAAAATCACCGCATATCAAGAAATATTATTTTTAGTTAGTTTAGAAAAAATTTTACAACAAATCTTATATATAAATAATATCTTCGGTATAATTGATTATTTTAACGGAAGATATTCGTGTTTTCATTGCACATGATTAAACCTTGAATACCATAAACAATAAAAGAAAATTTATTATGTCTTGTATACTCAAAGAACACTTTAAAAGTATACAATTGCTCATGATTTTATCTTTTATTTATTCATTAATTCAGACGACTCATTAAGACGATCAATGGGTTGCATGGATAATGAAATGGCCGTGTACCTTCATCATTGTATTGCATTTCTTTTTCCATAACATGTACATAATTCATTCTTCATTACAATCGAAAAAACCTTGACAACAATATCAAACAATAAAATTTTAAAGACAATGTAAAATGATTTTCGAAACGTAATCAAACTCGAAAAAGGTAATTTTAAAATATTTTTAATTTTTGAATATCAAAAAATAAAAATCAAGAAATAAAAATGTGAAAGAAATAAAGTGCAATATTTTTTATTATATATTTTGTTTATTATATGTTTTATTTCGAAAATGATATTTAATATAATTATATTTCTATTTTTTTATTTTTTTTTATCTTTTGTAGGAAAAAAATATCACTGACCTAGATTTTAAATATCGTTCGTTTCACTGGATATTTGATGATTCTTTTTTCTATGCTAACTATGAAAAACTATGAAAATCGTGGGAATTAGGTTTTTATAAGATGACTGACGGTCATGCGTACACTACACGAATTATACCCAGGAATAACAAGTGTACATTTTCCCATGCATGTACATAGGTACGTGTTTTGTCAAAGAACGAAATAAATTTCCACTCAGATTGTGTAAGCTGAGATATTATAATGCTCCATCTACATTGCACGCACGTAATTCGAATTCGCTTGGATTTCATAACTTTCTATCCAAAGAAGAATAATCCAGCTAAAAGATTGCAAATCAATGATTTCACGTAATTTCTCATAATACATTGTCTTTGTTTAGCTTTAGCAATAGCTGAAGGATTAAAAATTAAAAAAATAATAATTGATTATTTTTGATATATGATAATGAAAAACAGAAATAATAATATTAAAGAAAATTACATTAAAAAAAAATCTTTTAATTTCAATTAAAATACTTTCTCATAAAAAAATTCAAAAAAATTACTGATAATGATTTTTTTATATTTGATTTATAAATAGTATTATAGACATAAATCTTGAAAACATATAACAATAAATCTCTTATCTTATCAATTTCTTAAATGAAGAATTGTTATTTCTAAAATTTTTTTTTCAAATTTTATGCCCTATTTACAATAATTAATTAAATTAATAACTAATAATTAAATTAATAAATATTAATTAAATTAATAGATTACAATTATTAAATTTACATTTATTTAGAATTATAAAAGTTCTACTGCTATATAAAGTAATAAAACAGATAAGAAGACAGAAAGAGAGCGGTAACTAGACTTTCACCATAACGATATAGACTCTTTCTAAGATATTAGAATTTACATATAACATAGTATATATATGTCTCTTATAAGATATTATACTATAGTAAATCCAGGAATATATGGAAATTATTAAATTATCATTTATCTTTAGTTGTTGTTTTAGTTGTTATTATTATTTTATTCTCTCTTATTTTTCTATATTTAAATTTATCTTTTAAACTTCATATTTAAAAAATTTTATATTGCATTAAAATATATCATGAAGAAATAAAAAAAATATTTCTTTTAGACCTACCTACTTTCAATGCTTTAGATGCAATGAACGCGATACGAGGGAAGAGACTATAATGATGGAGGGGAGTATATAACAACATTCTTCAATACCTTCCCAGAGGGTTTCTGACTATTCTACTGAGCGAAGTTTGAAGGTATACGGCGAGCTATTGCAGATCTTGGACATATTGATCGAGCTTTGATTAATATCAATCGATCAATTGACATAGAAGTGAGTACAAGAAAAAAAAATTCATTTATTGTATTTTAAAAGAACTTCAGGAAGTAACTTCAGAAAATCCCATCAAGAAATAAAAAGGTAATGACTATATTGATCAATTCTGTTCATTCGTTTCACACGTTACTTTAAATCAAATGATTCGCTTGTAATATAGTGGAAAATTATTTTTAAATAATAATAGTGAAAATTATTTTCAGTTTTATTGAGAATAAAAGTGTGAATAATAACATTATCACCACATTTTCTTTGCGTTATGTGCATTGAATTGATTTACAGTGATTTTGAAAAAAATCTTTATAATAAAAATCTTACGTGCTAAAATTTAAATAAAAAATTTAAAACTTGAAAGTGCAAGTTTCTTTTTTATTAATATTTTTTAATATTTCTTATACATAACTTTTCAATTGTCAAGCAATTTTTTTGTAAGAAGTCAACCAAATGATATTTTATCAAATAGTAATACTTTTAAACATCGCTACGAAGTGGTCTCGCCTTTGTTTAAATTTAAGATAACGGATATGGAATCTTTTCTTTCACGCGCACAAAATATATTCGAAATTCGAAAGAAAATTTCTTTGTGATTAAAATTTAAAGGTAGAATTTCAATTTTATGAACGAAGAAACAAGAAAATAAGAAAAATAAAAAAAGACCAGAAATGCATAAGCTCGACTATTTTATGTGCTTTTTATATTCATGTCTCGTGCGAAATGATCCTCACTTAAATAATTTATTCAATAAATATTCAGACAGAAGTGTATGATGATTGTAGAATATATTGTAATAAACTATGCATCCTTGCTTGATTCCTATAAAAGGATTTGCGCGCGCGCACTCTTGGTGCATTGACCGGACACCAATAACACCAGTAACCGTAAATCGGAGACTTGTAGACTAGAGTATACCATTACTTGCGTAGGAATACCGTAATACACGTAATTTCTGTTCATCGCTGGAATTTACCAGGCTCCTACCGATTTCTATTTTTCACAGAAATGAAGAAATAACAAAGGAACCGGTTCTTTATTGAAAGCATGACGATTAAAAGAGAATATGAAACATTTTAATAGAAAAAGAAGGAATTATGCAATAATGTTTGTATATATAGCATAAAATGTAGTTAAGTAATATTAATACGACCACTTAAATTAATGAAAGGAAATGAAGAAAAATTTTATACTCGATATTGTAATAATTTGGTGAATGTTTGTACTCTGTGCTCTCTTATTAATTTCCATAACATGATTTAAATATTTAGAAAGATAAAATTTTGAATAATTTTAATTTATTTATTTTAATATGTTTAAATTATCATTTTTAATTCTTTAATTCAAGAATATATAATGCAACTAGCAGAATGGCTCATCCTAATTTACGATTTTCTACTATTTATGGGAATGGCACTTATTTATATAAGTGAGGCTATTATTTTGACATTCGTTCCAAAACGTTATCGAATAAAATCTATAAAAGGAGAAATTGCATTGATAACGGGAGGCGCCGGAGGAATCGGACGATTGATCGCGATTAAGTTAGCAAAACTTGGAGCACACGTTGTCATCTGGGACATTAATAGAATTGGCAAGTTCTAATATAGGTTGATATAAAAAAAAAAGAAAAAAGCTAATTTATGATATTCTATGAAATTTCAGGATTAGAGAGTACAGTTCAAGAGATTAGACATAATGGAGGAAAATGTTGGGGTTATTATTGTGACATCACTAATAAGGAAGAAATTTACAGAATGGCGAAAACAGTGCAAATCGAAGTTGGCTCAGTAAATAAAATTGTTAAATGAATAATCAACAAATAAATTAAAGTGACTTAATATGATTTTGATATTTAGGTAACGTTATTGATAAATAACGCAGGTTATGTATCCGGAAAAATATTTTGGGAATTATCCGATGTTGAAATTGATCGTACTTATAAAGTGAACATTCTCTCTCACTATTGGGTAAGTAGAAATGAATATAAGTTAAATCAAAAATATTTAGATATTTATATTTGACAGATTAACAAAGTATTTCTGAAGGATATGATGAAAAATAATCACGGTCACGTTGTAACTGTGGCAAGCGTTGCAGGACTTTTAGGTACCTACAAATGTACTGATTATTCGGCAACTAAATTTGCGGCCATCGGCTATCATGAAAGTCTTTTTACTGAACTTAAAGTAAGAATATTTTAGAATTGTATTTTTCTATTTTATTCTATATTGATTTTTCGTACTGTAAGATAATTTTTTTTTTTTGCAACTTTCATAGACTCACGGTTACGATGGAATTCACGCTACTTTAATTTGCCCTTACTTTATCAATACAGGCATGTTTCATGGAGTAGAACCAAGGTATACAATGTAATTTAATATTATAATAAACTTTAGCTTTTTTGTGGTGATATGATATGCAAAGATTTATAATTTAGATTGATGTCAATGTTACAACCTGAATATGTCGCACAAGAAGTCGTATCTGGAATATTGTTGAATCAAGCAATTGTTGTATTGCCTGCATCAGTTAGATTTCTTTTACCATTAAAATGGTAAATATCACGAAGTTTTTCTTACTCTAAGTAAAATATTTTTATAAAAAAAACAATTATATTTTTTTTTTTTTATAAAAGCTTATTACCAGCAAAATTATGCTGGGCATTAATGTACAACATTATACGAGGACCTCAATGTATGATGATGTTTAAAGGAAGAGAAGAAGTGCAAGTATTAAAAAATAATAATAATATTACAATAATGCCTAAAGGACATTAATGTTTAAAAGTTCCATATTCAATGATAGAATATGATCTGAATGATTAATATAAAAATACTATCTCGATTTTGATTATAAAATTATTACATTTAAATATATAACAAAAATTTAACTCATTAATTTTAAGAATATTTATATGTACCTGGAAATTATATTAGATAATTTTATTTTTTTAATATTATGTATATTTGTAATATATGCAAAATGTTCACAATAAATCATAAAAATAATGTAATCCTTGACCAAGTTCCCAAATAGATATACCTGTATTTAACTCTGCTGCAAGATCCAATCGATGTAAAATAGAATATAATGTAGGATAAAAGATAATTCCATTGCCTCCTGTTGATCTAAAATATCCCACATTTTATCCTAAACTAAGATAATTTTACCTAAGCTATAAATTTTTTTATGATCCTGTATCTTACTTTGTTTCAAAAAAATGTTCTTTGCTGTTATCATCCCATTGAATTTTCCCTTTAAAGGATTCAAGAATTTTTAAATAATCTGAACCTAAGATAGCTCCTCCACCTTCAGGTGTGTAATTATATCCATAAAAATTAAGACCTAGTAATATTTGAGCCCTTTTAGGACTTTTTTCAGGTACTAATAATTCTACACATTCCCTCACCCAATCAAGAGGACTATTAGGACCAGGTCGTTGAATGCTTGAATAATCATAAGTCATTAAAGAGAATGCTTTCAAATATGGAGATAATTGATCAAATTGATCTCTATTAAATAATTGAATATTAGGGCTGAAATATTAAAAAACAATATAATTTCTTATATTTTTGGAACCTTTCAAATATAATGTAATTGTAATTTGATTACAAAATAATAAAACAAAACTTACCCTCTTGAGGGTGGTACTGCTAAAATTGTATCTAAATTATTGTTTTTCAATTGATGAGCAATAAATTGAATTAATGCTACAACAATCTGTGTATCTACACCTGTTGATACAAACTGATTCCACATTTCTAATACATATCCATCAAAATGAAAATTCTGAAATATATATAACAATTATTTTAATATTATTAAATTAATATCTAATGTATTATAAATATTATCAAAGTAATTATACTTTTGCTGTATCTGTGAGTGTTGAAATTAATGCAATTTGTTTTTGAGTATCACTATATAATGCAATAATGTCATTAATTGACCAATGCTCGAATAATACTCTTGGTAAAACTGTAAATAATAATTATATCTTTATGTATACTTATATATGAGAAATAATAATATTAAAAAAGTAACATACTTTTTACGTGATAGGTTTCATTATTTATAGTTCTCATTTCTTTTAACCATTTTTTTTGAACATCATGAGTTGACAATTTGTATGTTGATGCACTGCCTTTTGGAAATGTTAACCATACTGGTGATATCATTGTGAATTTTCCATGAAATATTTTAGAAACTTCAAATCCATTGTTATTCCACTAAAAAAAATTTATCATCAATAAATTTGTTCCAAAATATATGTATGTAAAAAATATCATATTTACCAAGTTAAAATATTATGAAAATTAATAAATTTACCGGTGTAATATACCCCAAAACCTCTCCAGTAAATCGTCGACGAGTTGTATTAAAAAAATAAAATCCTGATTCTCGAATTATATCATATGTTTTAGGATTTTTGATTACTAAAATTCTGCTGAAAACATCTTGTTCCACAGGACCTTTCTGAAATAATATTATCAAAATTAAATCATAGATATATTATTATGCGATATTGTTTTCTCTACCTTATTTTCAATTTTTCCTTTATTTTTTTTATTATTTCTATCTTTGGGTGGTGATAATGTACATTCTGATAATTGAAAAAATAATAACAGACTAATCATTAATGAAAAAATATTCATATTAATTATTTTTAATACAAACTTATTGCAAATATGAATAACATATGTGACGTGGTTTATATATATAAAGTATTCATTCAAAAGATCTTATTAGAATTGTTAATAGAATGCGCTACAGTCAATTTATATAGATATAATCATATATGTACATCCAATAATATTTTGAATAAAATTATATTTTTGTTCCTATATCAATATATTAAAATAAATATATATAATATAAAATTTTGTTGAAAAAAATACCAACTCATATATTAATATTAAATTTTTAATTAAATAAATTATATTTTATTTCCTTTTATATAGTTTTTTTATTGAAAGAGTAAAATTTTTAAGTAATTATTTCTTTTATTAAACATAAATTAGTTAAATAAGTTAATTATCCAATATATAATCAATTAAAAAATAAAAATGATTAAAAATTGCTTTACATATTTTTTAAGCCTTTTTTTACCACGTGACTACGTCACATGATATGTGTTTTGATGTAATATGGCGTCTTTAATTGTCACAGTATAATAAAATTTCTAAATGAATTTAAAATTCTTTTAAATGTTGAACTTGAAATTGAACACAGAATGCCAGTTGACATAAATCGATTAACAGAAGGTTGGCTAGAATTGGAAAGTGACCCAGGTATAAAATAATACGCACAAGAGTATGTTAATTTAATAACTATTAACATTATATTATCTGGATATATTATTATATAGTGTAAAGTAATTTACTGTGATACAACATTATAATTTCTATTTTCTATAAATGATATAAAATATGATATAAAATAATGTTAATTATTTGATTTTATTTTATTATACTTGTATATGTTTACTATAATTATAATATATTTTAGTTTTATCATAAGAAATAATAAAAATCATTTCATTCTTTTGTATTCATAATATTAAGATCATAATATACTTAAAAAGGTTATCTTACCTTTATTATATTACTATAAGATTTTTATTTTGTTGTTAGGTTTATTTACATTATTATTGGAGGATTTTGGAGTAAAAGGTGTACAAGTAGAAGAAATATATGATCTACAAAAATCATTGGAAGGTCCAGTATATGGTTTTATATTTTTATTTCGTTGGATAGAAGAAAGGAGATCCAGACGTAAAGTTGTAGAACAAGATGAAAGTTTTGTAAAAGATGAAGAAATTGTTAACAATATATTTTTTGCACAACAGGTACTTTTATGTATATCTTTTATATATTATATATTATAATATTTTTATATAAAATATAAGTTTAAATAATCTATTATTTTATAGGTTGTGCCCAATAGTTGTGCAACTCATGCATTACTTTCTGTATTACTTAATTGTCCAAATATTCATTTGGGTACAACTTTATCCCGATTGAAAATGCATACATCTGGTATGTGTCCAGAAAATAAAGGATGGGCAATAGGTAATACTCCTGAATTGGCATGTGCTCATAATTCTCATGCAATGCCTCAAGCCAAAAGACGTCAAGATAAAAACACTGGTGTTTCAACTGGTAGATTTACTGGAGAAGCTTTTCATTTTGTTAGTTATGTACCAATTAATGGTAGATTATTTGAATTAGATGGTTTAAAACCATATCCGATGGATCATGGTCCATGGAAAGAGCATGAAGAATGGACTGAACAATTTAGAAGAGTAATTACAGATCGTTTAGGAATGGCAACCGGAGAACAGTTACAAGATATAAGATTTAATTTAATGGCTGTTGTTCCTGATCGACGACTCGCTATTTCGCATAAATTAACTATGTTGAAAACTAATAGGCAAATAGTATTAGAGGCATTGCAACAACTTGTTAAATTAAGTCATCAAGATGGAACGGAAAAAAATTCAAATGATTCTGATAAATCAGATAAATCCTATGATAAAAAGAACAAAACTGACGATGAAAATGTTCCACCTAATAAATCAGAGATTGATGAATCTTCATCAGTACCAACAATTACAGTTGAAAGAAATAATGATTCTACTATAGATACTGAAGAGCCAGCCACAAGTGTAACTTCTGGAAAGGCAGAATCAAAGTAGGTAAAAAGTAAATTAAATATTTATGATATTTAAAAATACTTTATTTTTTTAAACGAAATTATAATATATATTTTTTTAAATATTTTATTAGTATGGAAAAAGTAGTAATGTGTGCATTGGATTATGCTACACCTCTCAGAATTCAAACTTCTCCAGCACATAGTTCATCTAGTACTGATACATCATCTGAGATTGGATCCGCATTTAATTCTCCAACACAAGGTAAATAAAAAAATATTTTTTATGATATTTTACAGAGACGTTTCGTTGTACAAACTTTCCTACTTTGACAAAATATTAAGCCATTTGGACATGACATTCGTATAGATTTGATATCTTCTGAATTATTTGAAGCTGAATAACAAATGTAATAATGAGATTCAGATGTAGGATCTTTTGTTTTTCCATGTTCTGTACACATATTTTTATTTGTTTGAAATATATCATTTATATTTCCTAACAAATTTATATTTTTTTTATTATTTTCATTTTCATTACACTTATTATAAGTGCTTGCATCACATGTTTTTGAATATTTATTAAATGCTGTGAATAATGGACATGAATATTCTATTACAGAGGCCATGTCAGGTTCACATATGTAATATTTAACACAATTGGTCATATTTGGCATCCGAACATTTTTTATACATGGAATAACTTGAACAAATTGCGAATCCAAATGGTAACCTAATGATCTATATCTTTCAATAGTTAAATATTGTTTGTTTCCCATATTATCCATAATTAAGATTATATTATTTTCATCATCAGTTATTGACAAATTTTTAGAATTTTCTGTGTTTGATATCAATTCATTAATATCATTTTTTAAAGTCGCACTATTTTCAGTTGTATCTTGTAATTTGACATCAGTTATAATAGTATTTTGTAAATTATTATTTTGTTGAATATAATTTTGTACAAGATAACTTGATAATGGTAAGTTTGTAACAGATTTCGAAGGTAATGACGATGATGCTAAAAGTTCCAATGGAATAGTAATTTTTTTATAAATCAATAGATGATGTATTAACTGATTCAACATTGAATAATATTTTTTATTATTATCTTTCGTTTGTAGATAACTTTCTTTTATATTATTAATTTCAGAAACATCATCTGCATTCAATTTATATTTGTGTTCCATTGTTTCTTTATCTTCAATTAAAGGATACGGAGTAGCCGTATCTTGATCAAAATAATCAGGAATGCTGTCAGTAGTATATGATGAATCAATAAATTCAGAAAAATTCCATGGATCTTCCGTTGATCCCATATAACTAGTTTCATTTGGATTGATCAATTCAGGAATATCATACCTGTTTGTTATAAAAGATGATTCTGTCGACAGTGTGTCACATGTCCAGGAATCACCAGGCAGAACACACATTCGTAGATACGGCTGAAATATCTAAAAATGGAAACGTGTTATTTTTAAAATTATTTTATTTTTAATTTTTTAAATTTTTAAATGTTTTTATTTATTATATTAACGAGTATTAACGAAATCTTACCAAATTTCCGGTACATTTACTAGGTATCCAAACGTAACCACCACTAGGTAAATTCACACAATTATAAAATATGGTACAACTAGTGGGATGAGGTTTCCTTGATTCTGGACATTTTGATGATTCGATTGTGATTAGAATAGAATATAAAAAAAAAGCTATCAATTTCATTTTGTTCTACTGTCACGGGTAGTATCATACAACAAACTAAAATTCTTGTAGTTCGGTAGGTGATATTATTTGACTTTCGCACATTCCCCCTCGTTTCGTCTCCTTTGACACCTTCGAAATACAGTTATATGACCTATGGTTTCTCAATATTTCCGTATTGTTTCTTATTGTACGATGACAATTAAAAAAGGTATTATATCATGATTTCTTTCGTATAAAATGTAATAATAAAGCAAATGCAGATATTTCTATGTAATAAATAAATTTTTTTATTTATAGCATGGGGATGGAATTCTGGTCAAAGCAGTCCAACATCGACAAAAGATTTCAAAAAATTTGTCGTGATTAGAGTGTCTGGAGATGAAAAGAATGAAGCGGGTTTAAGTACGTACATTGTTTATTGTTTCACTGTTTCCTTAATGTGATACTTATCTTCATATTTTTATGGAAACGGTACATAAAATTTATATCCATAAGTAGGTCGTTCTCTTGGAAATATTAATATAAATGGAAAAAGATTAGTTTCTGACAGTGGTCATTTACATAAGAAGGTCTGTCTGTCAGGAGAAGTTAGGATACCTCATGCCAGAGTAAAAACTAGTAACGGGGATACTGTTACCGAAGAGAAGAAAGTCGAAAAGATCGATCCAAAATTATGTTCGAAATATCCAGAATTGTTCGAACCGCATACATTTGCACCTAAAGATCTTTTAGCATTATTAAAGAATTTAGAACATGAAATTAATATTTGTGAAACTAGTTTAAAAGATGAAAATGACAAGAGAAATAAATATAAGGTAAAAATATATTTTTAATAAAAATTTATTAATATTATGAATAAGATTTATGTATTATTTTATTCTTTGTATTTCAGATTGATGATTGTCGTAGAACACATAATTACGACGAATTTATTTGTACTTTCCTTTCGATGCTTGCTCAACAAGGCAAATTAGCAGAATTGGTCCAACAGCACTTGACTTTAAAGAAACACACTTCCGTCTCAGTGAACAGGGTTCATAGGTAAGAAATTTTATTATTATAATAAATATTATAATTTAAATTAGCTTGACAAATTGTTCGATATAAAAATTATTTACAGATCTTCAAAGAAAGCAGATACTCGTCCAAACTCCTCTCGTAGACGTCGAGGTAGAACCAAATGTAAAAAACGAAAATAATCTTCGTAAAATGAATAAATGGAATGTTATCCCACCTATCGAATTATCAGTCAAGAATTTTGGAACTATTAAAAAGGACATTTTTAAGATAAAACAAACATATAAAAAAATTATATGATTGTTAAAGCAAAATGGAGCGTGGATTATATCACTCTTTACAATACTTACAACGTTGATAGCGCTGAACTATCAATATTTGTTTTATTTTTTTCACTCAAATGTTTATTAGACAATCATATATTCATCAGCAGCACTGAATATAATTTTTCTTTCGTCATAAATGCAATCCCTGCACGAATTGTACAAATTAACATTATGATATATTTTTTATATATCTTTTTTTTTTTACATTAATGGTATCTACTATCATTATATTTATAAATATCATAAATCTGGTGCATATTCTTTTAAATATGCATTAGTAACTTTTATCATTACATTTATTATGTTTATGAAATATATGGTTTCTTAGATACGAATACATGTTCTTTATATTATATATTATGCATTCTATATCTTTAAAATTAATATTTCAGAATGTTTGGGGTAACGACAAACAAAAAAATGCTACCAAGTATTGTCAAAAACATTGAAAATATTTATTCATATACAAGTACACTACACGCTGTGGATATGTTCCTTAGATCTAAATACTTATATCTCCGTACAGCCGGAGAAAGAAGGATCGAAACTTGTCTTGGAATCATGTTTATCATGTGGACAACGGCCGACCGAGTCTCTAAGTCGCTTTACCATACTGTATAGGAACTGTATTTGAAACGTCCTCAAAGAAGCTATTTCAGGAGTACAAATATATAAGAGGAGACACGATAGATCAAAAATGCTATTTGTAGAAGTTCCTTCTCCGGCCGATATTTATTAACGCCTTTGATATTTGCCATAGTTTCATCGGCACGAGTAGCGTGTTTTTTTTTTTTGTTTTTTTTTGGCAAAAGAAAGAAAAAAAAAAA